GAGAGAGGAAGGGAGAGATAGAAACATCAATGATGAGAGAGAATCATTGATTGGCTGCCCCCTGCACACTCCACAATGGGGATCGAGCCCACAACCTAGGCATGTGCCCTTGTCCGGAATCGAACCCAGGACCTTTCAGTCCACAGGCCAACGCTCTATCCACTGAGCCAAACCAGCTAAGGCTTATCGTTCCTTTTATTGGCCCATGGGCTGTCTTCTGGTTCATTTCTTCAGAATTGAGCTAAATAAACTATTGATCAATGGCAAATAAAAACATGTAGCTGAATTCTGGTTTTTTTGCAACAGCCTTCAGTGAAGTACCAACAACATGTGAATGGGGGAAGAATTTTCCCTTTTTCATTTACATATTATAGTATATCATGATTCTGTACTATTTCTGTTAGCCTCATTTATTGCTTGACCTTTGAAAAATAATGACTTGGTACTATTTTTGTAGGTCTGCAAGCTTGTCCCTATTTCCTGTTCTTCACCTTAGCACTTAACTGAATAGTTTCATCTGCTACACTTGATATGGCTGCATGGTTTTTAAGTTGGTACAAGTGTCTGTTGATTCAAATTGTACTCCAAAGTGGCCTTGAATGTCCAACCATCTCCATGTGAGAGCAACTATAATATAGTGATAGCAACCATTTTGGGCTCTAGTTCAAAGCAGTCAATTCTGATAGGAGTGACTTTGATTTAGGGTAGTGATGGTGAACCTATGACACGTGTGTCAGAGGTGGCACGTGAACTCATTTTTTTGGTTGATTTTTCTTTGTTAAATGACATTTAAATATATAGGATAAATATCAAAAATATGTCTTTGTTTTACTTTGGTTGCAAATATCAAAAAATTTCTATATGTGACACGGCACCTACAATAAGTGTTTTACTACAGGTCTATGGAAAGAGACCCATTGGCCCTGTTTAGAATACAAAATACCCCCACAAAGTTGTAAGACAAACTACAGTCACCCTAGGTTAATAATAATCTTATGAATCTCTAACTTGAAGAATGATGCCTAAAAAAGATCTATAATAATAAAAGGGTAATAAGCTAATTAGACTGGACATCCTTCCAGACGACCTTCTGGACAAAGCCAGGGCTGTAAGGGAAGCCCAGGTCCTGGGTGCCTGCCAGCGGTCGCAGGGAAGCACTGGTCCCCGCTGCCAAAGGGAAGCTGGTGCCTGCAGCCCGGGAAAGGAAGGCTTATTCTTACACGAATTTTGTGCATTGGGCCTCTAGTTTAAAAATAAAAATGGAGGAGGGGTCATTTTATCAGTATAACTTAATCCAGGTAATATTTGGAGGCACTTGAAATGTCTTATTTTCTTCCACAGCCTTCTTTCTTAATAATTATAACCCTGAATTTATGAGATTTGTGACTGGAACATGATGAGCTTTGTATTTATTGTACCTTTAAATGGACAGTCATTATTGACTGCCAACTTAGTGTTTAAAATCAATAATTACATTGTACCTGATTGTCAACCCTCATGATGCTTTTTAATTGATAAAGAAAACTAACTGGAAAAATGAAGACCCCCTAATCCTTTGTTATCTTTTAATTGAACTTTATTTAAATATTACTGAAAAGTTTGATTTCAGGTATTTCCCTAATTTACCCTTATATATACATACACAGTTAAAATTGAGTTGTTTGAACATATCTACCTAGATTTTTGTCCAGGTAGGAAGAAGTATTGCCTCTATGTTTGGAAAATAAACCACTTCAGTAGTCCTTTGTAGATGTGTTCTGTATTATAGTTGTTGTTGTTTGTTGTTATTGTTTTTTACTTGAGACTAATAATCTGTTTGTAACTGACTGAGACAGAAAAATGTGATGTTCCTTTCCACTTACTTCAGATTTTGATAGAAGACTTGTTTTATTTATTTCCAAAATTATATCCGCAGGAAACAAGCTGTTTAAATTCAGATTATGCTGAAGCAAAATGGTCCTGGTATGAGAAGCAACGTGCTGTTTTACGAGCACAGAGTCCCTTTTCTCATAACTGATTGATAGTAAATATTTTCCTGAAGAATTATTGCCAACCATGAACAGTGCAACTGTTTCACTTTTTTTCCTTGCTACTTGCTGTACCAGCCATTGTCGGTAATTAAGATCTACAATTCACAATGCAGACGTTTGCACTTCCTCTGGGTCTGTGCTATTTATAAGGCATTTCAGCTGTTCAGAGTTTCTTTTGAGTTTTAAACTACATGTTAACAGGCTTCTTTAATATACTGTTCTACAAGTAGCACATTAGATGGTCCATTCTTTGCACAGGTTCCTCTGTTGGGTCTAACAATTAGCTTTTAGAGAATACATTTAAATGTAACCATATCACTGAGGCCAGTGTGGTTGGAAAACTCTGAAGTGTAACGTGTTACACATTTGGCTTATTCTTAAGGCAGGAATAAAGGTTAAAAGTAATATTTTCCCTTTCATTTTCAAATGTTCTTATGAATTTAATGAGTGTTAATGGTGTGGATGGCTACAGAGAGGTTCTGAGAAATACTAGTAGGAGTGACTTTCCAAGTTCACTTTTGAAGTAATAACAGAATCAAGGGCCATTGTTACAAACAAGAGTTTGTGTGTTTGTCAGATTAAGGATACAAGTATACATAAACTTCTGGATGTGTATGATACTTATACAAAGGACAAAGGATGCCAAAAGGGATCAGCAGCCTGACCACACTTTTGTTATGTAATCAGCTTTATGACCCTTTAGGAATATGCCAATGGAGAGGAAAGTTTAAACAGGAATCCTGGTCTATATTAAAACCGGTAGAATTCGAAGTCACTTTCTACCATTTCAAGAGAGTTCGTCGTTTTTTTAAAAAGTCCAGACAGACCCCAGTGAGAGTCTTTGTGGATTGTGCCTGAGAGAGTAACTGCTTGCATAGTCTCCTTGCTACCTGCATTTATTGTTAAAAATACAAGAGAAAGAAACAAGAAACTGAAAGTGGTTGACAAAATATGTTTAAAACTTTGCGCTGAGTGGAGATCAGTCTGGCTGTTTTTAAGCCTGAAGTCAGCTTCATTGATTCCGCACTTTGGCTGCCAGCATCTTTCAGCAGAGCACATCTTCGGAGGAAGGCAGGACACGGGTTTCAGTGCTGATTTCCTGATGGCCCCTTGACTATAAGACAGAGCTTATAAAAAGCGTTTCCAAGGCAGTTTTATTTGCCAAAATCTAAAACTTTCTGTGCTAATTTTTTAAATTGTAGTGTTTCTGTAAACTTTTTTTCCTCCTTGAACTCTTTATGAACCTTTTTTTAAGATAGCAGCGGTGGTTCAACTGTTGGGAACCACTGATATATCTGACTGAGATGCTTCAAGATGCTAGAACCTATTCACATTTCTTTCTAGCCAGGGAGCTAATAAGATTAGTTTGTCTTTGTGGATTGATCTAGATTAGCATGAGATTAGCCCAGTCAGAGTCTTCCTCAGTGAAAAAGGAAAGGTTGGGAGAGAGAGGGGTGAAGGAAGAAAGTTCTTCATCAAGAATTGACTGCAATATTGCCTGCTGATGCATGACAGATCACCCGCACG